AGGGGCTAATTTTGGAAGTTATTGGCAGTTTTATTTTGAGGAAATATCAGTTTCCTCCAGAAGGGATTTTGCTTGAGTATCGAGACAGACACACACATGAAAGGTTATTGAACAACAATAATGTACAAAACAACAAACCCAGTACAACACCGACACCCACCGACCACACGGCGGAGATCCACCCTCGTCCTGACGGAACGCCTCAGCCTGTGGTTATATCAGTGAGGGAGGCGGGAAGGAGAGAGAGAGAGAGCGAATCCAAAGAAAAAGAGGCAGAAAGCATAAGTAGGAAACGAGGGGTTTCGGAGGTTTGCCTCTTTTTTTCTCTTGTTTGTTTTGCCCCAAGTCCATCAAAGCTCAGGGTGAGCAGGCGGAGCAGGGTGAGGTGGACCAGGACACTGATGAGGCCCCATCCAGGAGGTGATGGTAAATGACAAGCTTTCAACATAAAACAAGTCTCTTTATCGTTTACACACAATATAAAAAGCACCATCACAAATTATTAAAATGTAGATTGATTGCTTTTCCCCCACGTGATAAATATTATATTTACACACACACACACACACACACACACACACACATGTTGTGTTTCCATGTTTTATGGGGACATTCCATAGGCGTAATGGTTTTTATACTGTACAAACTGTATGTACTATTGCCCTACACCAACCCTACCCCTGAACCTACCCCTTACAGGAAACTTTGTGCATTTTTACTTTCTCAAAAAAACTCATTCTGTATGATTTATAAGCTTGTTTCCTCTTGGGGACCTCAAAAATGTCCCCACAAGGTCAAAATGTACTGGTATTACTATCCTTGTGAGGACATTTGGTCCCCATAACGTGATAAATACCAGGTACACAAACACACACACACATTATTTGACCCAAAAATACAGCAAAAGCAGTAATATCTTAAAATAATTTTACTATTTAAAATAACTGCTTTCTATTTGAATATATTAAAAAATGTAATTCACAGGCGTAATGGTTTTTATACTGTACAAACTGTATGTACTATTGCCCTACACCAACCCTACCCCTGAACCTACCCCTTACAGGAAACTTTGTGCATTTTTACTTTCTCAAAAAAACTCATTCTGTATGATTTATAAGCTTGTTTCCTCTTGGGGACCTCAAAAATGTCCCCACAAGGTCAAAATGTACTGGTATTACTATCCTTGTGAGGACATTTGGTCCCCATAACGTGATAAATACCAGGTACACAAACACACACACACATTATTTGACCCAAAAATACAGCAAAAGCAGTAATATCTTAAAATAATTTTACTATTTAAAATAACTGCTTTCTATTTGAATATATTAAAAAATGTAATTTATTCCTGTGATCAAAGCTGAATTTTCAGCATCATTACTCCAGTCTTCAGTGTCACACGATCCTTCAGAAATCATTCTAATATGCTGATTTGCTGAAACATTTTATTTTTATTATTATCATTATTATTATCATCAGTATTTAAAACAGTTAAGTACATTTTTTCAGGATTCTTTGATGAATAGAAATATATATATATAAAAAAAAAATCAGCATTTATCTGAAATAAAAAGCTTTTGTAACATTATAAAACGCATAGTTCCGGTCCTTGATTCTGATTGGCTGAGCAAAGTTCAAAGCTGTTGTAAATTACTCTACAAACATACATCTTTTGTTTACATTTGTGTGTTGCTCGCAACCACTTTGTTGGAACCACAACCGTTTCTGAGGAACTACATTGTTTGGCTGAAGAATAATGTTTTTATTAATATCATAAAACTTTTTTTATTTTGTGAAACCTTACTACGTATATGGAATAAGTTAACCATTTTTATAAAAGCAATATGCCCCAAGAAGCTGTGGTTTACAGTGAATTTCTAACAGCTAAGGGGCGTTGTTAGTGCCTTTACACTGTACTGTGTACTTCTGACTCACAGACTGTAAGTAAGTTTTTTACATTTAAAGAATTTGTCACTGATGATTCAAACGCGAGTTTTGAGCAGTGTAGAGTAGCACTTGTTGTTTGTCATTTCTCCGATCACAAATGCAGACATGGTTTTATGTTTACGCGATGCAACGCAAAGCATAAAAAGACAGTATAAGTCATTATAATCCGTAATTATGTCCCCACTGGATGCAACAAATGCCTCGTTTATAATTGGTTTTAATGTTTTTGTCTCGTCGCTCCGGCCGGACAGGGCAAGGGGTGTAACATTTCCGTCACACGCTTGAGGTATTCGGCCCATCACATCGCACTGGATAGCTGGATCGCTTTTCAGACCGATGAGCTTTGTAAAAATCGACGCGTTTCAGAAAGGCGGAGCATAGAGGAGAAACAATAATGTACGATATGTGGAAAATAATGTTTTTTGAACCTTAAACCGCAAAAACACATTTCATTACACTAAATACACAAAAGAATGTTCTAAAGCATAAAAAGACAGTATAAGTCATTATAATCCGTAATTATGTCCCCACTGGATGCAACAAATGTCTCGTTTATAATGGGTTTTAATGTTTTTGTCTCGTCGCTCCGGCCGGACAGGGCAAGGGGTGTAACATTTCCGTCACACGCTTGAGGTATTCGGCCCATCACATCGCACTGGATAGCTGGATCGCTTTTCAGACCGATGAGCTTTGTAAAAATCGACGCGTTTCAGAAAGGCGGAGCATAGAGGAGAAACAATAATGTACGATATGTGGAAAATAATGTGTTTTTTGAACCTTAAACCGCAAAAACACATTTCATTATACCAAATACACAAAAGAATGTTCGTTTTAGCAACATCATAAGACCCCTTTAAAAATAGAATCACCCAGAGCTCTCTGTCAAGCTCGTCCACAAGTTCTTTTCACTGCTGCTCCACTGGTTCCTGCCTCTGGCGTATGCGTCCCAGAGATCTGTGTCATGGATGCATCAGAGGTTTCAGCCGTGCCCACAGAGCTCCCTTTCTCAGCTGCTTTGGGCCCAGAGATATTGTCAGGGCCGCCCAGAAATCACTGAAATCTCTAGAAATTGCCCCGGAAGATTTCTGATGCTGCTGCTCCAGAACCTGCTGAGGTCAGAGAGGACAGAATCAAAGGAACCACAGAGGTTACTTATAGTGCACATTTTCAGAGCCACCCTGGTCCCAGAGCTTCTTGGCCTGGCCTGCATGTTCCTGCTGCTGCAAGCCCAGAACCCGCTACAGTTCCAGAGCTCTGTGTCATGGCAGCCAGTTGCAAAGTTTATCAGCGGTTCCTGGCATGACAGACTGGGTCACACTAATGCCCGCTGGTGTCCAAGCAGCTGCAGTTCCAGAGCTCCTCTCTTCCCTGGCCCCAGATGTTCAGTTCCAGATCTCCTCTCTTCCCTGGCCCCAGGTGTTCAGTTCCAGATCTCCTCTCTTCCCTGGTCCCAGATGTTCAGTTCCAGAGCTCCTCTCTTCCCTGGTCCCAGATGTTCAGTTCCAGAGCTCCTCTCTCCCCTGGTCCCAGATGTTCAGTTCCAGAGCTCCTCTCTCCCCTGGTCCCAGATGTTCCTACTAAAGCTGCTCTGGCACAAAAGGATTCTGTCAAAGCTGCATCATAGGACCCTCTCACAGCCGCATTGTTCACTGTCATCGGGATTGATTCCATATTACACCCGTGTGCCACATTAAAAAGACTTTGTGACTGTGAAAATACACAAAAATGTGTTATTTTAATAGGAAAACATCTGGAAACATTCTTATGCTTCAGTTCTTGAGAGGTAAAGCCTTTTGTTTATATTTATCACTTTGAATGTTAATTTTAATAATAAACTCACCAGGTAAGTAAAACCTGGCAAGTAACAACAAATAAATACAGGATTTAAAGGGGTCTAAGGGAATAAAAAAAAGGACATTTAATTCTTCTATCGTAAAACAGTTTTGCTGCTGTATACCTTATATCTTACCTCGCATTCTTTCACCAACTGCATCGCGCTGGAATTCATGCCGGGTTTTGTGAACTAGAGGTTGCACCCGTACTATTTTCTACTTTTTATATTTTTAACTTTTTAAACTTTTCATAGTCCTAAAACACATAGATCCATGCTTTGCAGCATGAAGAATATCAAATATTGGGAACGTGCCCCCCTCAATGACTACAGATATTGTGTTAATTAAAACAGTACACAACCATCACACAACAATATCATTCTTTGTCTTTTTATTCAATAGTAAAATTTTCTTTCATTGCAATATACTTAACATACTTAATTGTATAAGTATATAAACAGTATATATATATATATATATACATTATTTCAAGGTTCAATTCTCACTATTAACTAACTATTAACTACAACTTTTGTCTCAATAAACTACTAATTTGCTGCTTATTAATAGTTAGTAAGGCAGTTAAGTTGGGATCATCTAAAATATGGTAGAATAAGGCATTATTATGTGCTTTAAGTACCAATAAACAGCCACTGTGCTAGTAATATGTAGCCTATGCTAGTTTAAATGAGAATTGGGCCTTAAAATAAACTGTTACCATTATTTTAATATTACAGAATACCTGATTGCCACTTAAAATATAAATAAATACCTAATTTGATTTCAAAGTAGTCACATTCGCTGTTAAAAACATATTGCATATAGTAATAATAGCCTCAAAATAATAGGCTAATTCGTAATTTAATTAGGCCTGTGCTGAATTCATATAAAATTTTGAATTAACAAGATCGTCTGACTTTGGGTGGCCCAAAATCAAAGGATGTCACTGGCACATTAGAGCACGAGAGTGTCACGCCTCGCGCAAATAAATGCCTGCACAGTTTCGAGAAGCAGTGAACTTGACAGCTCTGCTCTCCTCTGATGTGCCTCATGGATCAGAGGGATTCCGCGGAGACTACAGGATGACAGGGGTCATCAGGGGCCGGCTGAACACTTTAAAAGCACTGTCCACAGCTCTGCCACCCTGATCACTCAGACGAGCCAGGAGGAGGAATCGGACGCGATCGATCGGTTCACTATTGAAAACTTTATTGAATCGCAATGGAAACCCTGCCAATATTGCACGCTGTCTTGGTAGTTTCCTTGATGCACGCTGGCTGCGTGAAGATCGATAATCGCGGCGCACTCATGGGAGAACATCGTAAAGTCTTCGCAGGTTCATATTCCGACTTAAGTCTCCAGTCGTATCCAAGGTCCCCGCTGTACATGATGCAGTTATACAGAGACTTCAGCGGTACGATGGCAACTACTCCAGCCAGTGTCGACAACCCAACTCTTCATCAGTCTGACTTCGTCCTAAGCCTGATTGCACAAGGTAAAACACGCACTACAATACGCATTTTTCTTTAACCTTCCTAAATAATTTTTGTATGCAAAATGTACTTAATGATACAACCATGTCATTTGGGCATGTGCTATCTTGGAAGCAAGTCTTTACCTTTTAGTGCATGCAAATTGCACATGAAATGACTAATCATTCATCAGCACCATAGTTTGTTTTTCATTACATTTTTGTATGTAGGCCTATTTAGCAGACTCTCTTATCCAAAGCGACTTAGATTGCATTCAAGGTATACTGTACATTCTATCAGTAGGTTACCATAGGCCACAGCAAAATCCCCAGAGTTAAATCAACTCTGCTCAGAGTACATATTGTCCCAATCTACGGAGTGTTAAAGTAACACTGAAGCAGAGTTACCACTGTTGAGGATTATGTGATATATTTTCATGTCTAAAAACCTGAGCTGTAGTTGTTCATCTTCAACATTGTTAACAGCGGGTTTTCTTTACTAATGCTCCCTTATCAATTAATTAATTGCTTAATTATCCCATTAACTTTAACTCGGCTTCAGTGTTACTTTAACACTGTAGATTGGGACAATATGCACTCTGAGCGGAGTTGATTTAACTCTGGGGATTTTGCTGTGTACCAAAGTACCATGATATTGCATCCGCCTACAAGTAAGTTTGTAATTTGTCAAGAATAGTCTATAGGTCCAAATACAAGCAAGCAAGTAAGATTTTGTGTTAGTAACTAGGACGTGAATATCTTAGGTTTGTTCAATAAAAACACATGATTTTTAAAGGGAGTAAAGCTACAGCATCTGGGGTACTTGTGGGCTCATTATCAGGTCCGTCGCTCTCGTGCTATCTGACCCTTAGATTTTACAACTCAGTAGTGTCACAGTGCTTATTCAACTTTAAAGAGCTGGCTGTTTTATGTACACGGGTGTGTGTATTAGCCCTTCAGACGTCTGTTTGAACGCAAGGTTCAATACACATCGCTTGTCAAGCAGCTCGTCCTTCCTGACAGTGTGCTGACATTTGGCCACGCTGACAGAAACTCTTGTTGCGGTACTGAATCAAACTCATGAAGCCTGGTGAAAATAAACTGACTACATTTCACTACCGAATTTAAATGAAGAATTTTTTAATAATCTCTAAAAGTAATGGGAAGTGTAAAAGTAAAACTTTATTAGCCTACAGTAATTGAGAAAAGGTCAATTTAGTTATGCTGAATACAAAAGGTGGCACAATTCAAAAGAAGTTAGACATTCTACATTTAGGCTTCATTTTCTTTATGAAAATTATAATAATTTATTTGGCTATATTATTTACTTAACATTTTGTCAATGACTTAGGGGATGTTCACACATGACGCGTTCTTATTAAGTTAAAATAGGACTATTACTAGAAGCAAATCGATGCAATGATCGAGTTTGAACATTTTTTTAAAGGAAGATAATTCTTTTTTTCTTCTTTTCAGAAAATGTCACTTAATTAACGGGTTTTTAAAAAAGTTTTTTTTTTTAGAAAAGTGTCAGATAATTCTTAAAATAGCTAGTTTGGAGCATTTCATTGTGCTTCGTCAACCTTTGAATGCAAGAAATCATATTTTGTGTGAATGCTCCATTAATTTCTATGCTGGGTAAGTTTATTTGACCTAATGTGTAGCTAAAGAGGGGATTCAAATATTTTCTGTTTATTTTCCAGACTGTCATCAAATTGGTGAGCGATGGTCCGTCACTTTCGACATGTCTTCCCTCTCAGCGAGAGACAGCATTCAACTTTCAGAGCTCCGCATCCGGCTGCCAGCGTTTTCTGCATCCAGACGCGTTATTGTGGACATCTTCCACTTACAGACACAGGATTGTGAGTCTGACTCTGTGTTTTGTCACCATAAGCGACTTTTTATAGGCAGCATCAAGTCGGTGCCCGGCACTTCAACATCGTCCTGGAGAGTTTTCAATGTCACGGAGTTACTCGAGCACTGGTTGAATCAGAGAACCGAGGCACCTGAACAGATCCCGACACCTGATGCCGGAGAGGACACCGGAAGCGGGGAAGACTTACCTGAACCTGTTACAAATAGCTGGAGAAGAAAAATCCAGCATCCCACAGCAGAACGAGTTATGATTGTAGTTTTCTACAAAAACAAACTTTCCCACAGTGGCCAGCAGCGTGCCTCCAGCTTGATCAATACAGTGGCGCACTCCAAATATGTCGTCTTGAACCGGGCACCAGACGCAGCTCAAGCTCGTCGCCACAAAAGGAACCGGGTCGAAAGGATGCGCACTACGGATGATAGAAACGCGACGGGAATAATATCGCCTCTAGAGCAACAACAAGGATCACTTTGTCGTCGAGTTGATATGTGGGTGGATTTTGATCAGATTGGATGGGATGAATGGATCGTGCACCCTAAGCGTTATAATGCTTACCGCTGCGAAGGAGAATGTCCAAGTCCATTGGATGAGTCTTTCAACCCAACAAACCATGCTTATATGCAGGTGAGATACTTAACAGTAGGCCAGCAGCGTGCTTAATTCAATGTCAAAAGTAAAAAAAAAAAAAAATTTTGCGCAAAAAACCCCCGGAAATTTCAAACAGCGTTTGTTTAACATTTTTAACATTAGGCTACTTTTTGTTTCATAACATTCAGATAGGCCTAACATTCAACAAATCCTATAATTCACATGATAAAAATTATAAATGGAGTGTTCCTTAGCATTCATATAAAATGTTTTTCTAAACAAGCCTATTAAAAACATTTTTAGTGTTAAAAGAAAATTCAGAAATAACGTTTTCATAACTTAAGCAAAACGTTCTTAGAAAATATTTTGTTAGCTATTTAGTATTTGTTGTATAATTCGTAATTTTATGTTGATTTATAAAAAAGACATTTGCGTGTTACAGGAAGATGTTCATCATTATGCTACTGTATTATTTTAATAATAAAATAGAATGCATTTTTTTTGTAATCTCTTTTTTTTTCTTTCTTTCTCTATTTAGTGGACCAACAAAGTCTAGAATTAGTCTTTAGTAGCGTTTAAATAAGGAATAGTTAGTGGTACCGGGTGCTAAAATGTTGCTTTCTTTTTCCAGAGTTTGTTGAAGCTTTACCATCCGGAGCGCGTTACCTGTCCGTCATGCGTCCCGACGCGCCTCAGCTCGCTCTCCATGCTGTACTATGAAGGCGACGGTGTGGTCATGCGCCATCACGAGGACATGATCGTGGAGGAGTGCGGTTGTCAATGAAGTGTGTTGCTGTGTTGTCATGGAAGTCTGACGATGCACTTTCAGTGGACTACTCTGATAACACTTAAAAGGTTTAATAACATTCCATTCCATTATTCTGAACTAAAGTCCGTGCTTTTGGAGAATTTCAAATGAGAACCACTGAAATGCTGTGCAAAATATGAGAATATTTAATATTTAAAAGAAATAAATGTAAATATTTTGTATTTGGAATTTTTAAGGAGTGTATATTTTTACTTAATGTACATGTGATATGTATTGTGATAAAATGTGATGTGAAATGTGTTAGTTTTTTTCCTTATCAGCAGGCTTGATAAAGTTTTATATAAAACATACAAAAAACTAATAAAGCAAAAAATTATTTCTTATTTTGTTTTGTTGACTTTATACTTTGTAGTTTGTATAATCAGCATTTTTAAAATATCCCTACATTATATCCCTATATTATTTGTATATTGGTTTACTCATTGTTCCTTAAATCTAAAATGTTTTAAAATTTAAAAGAAAGTCCGATAGCTAGTAAAAACTGACATTTATAATGCTTGATGACATTTGTGGCTATAAGAACCATACTGAACAAACACATTGTTAAATTAAAAGAATTGTTCACCCAAAAACTGAAAATTTTCTGAAAAGGTCATCCAAGACGTACATGAGTTTGTCTGTTCATCAGAACAGATTTGGAGAAATGTAGCATTGCATCACTTGCACGCCAATGGATCCTTTGCAGTGAATGGGTGCCGTCAGAATGAGAGTCCAAACAGCTGATAAAAACACAATAATCCACAAGTAATCCACACCACTCCAATCCATCAATTAACGTCTTATGAAGTGAAAAGCTGTCTTTATAAGAAACATATCCATCAAGACAACTGTTGCTTCCAGCTAAAATATGAGTCCTCTATCCATAATATTGCTTTCTCCAGTGGAAAAAGTAATTTAATCTGAATCAGGAGAGAAATATACACCGATATAGACACAGGTATTAGAAATGCATAGTTCTAGACAGTGGGTGGATTTTGATGTGAGACGACAACTTGGACTTTTTCACTGGAGGAAGCGTTATTATGGATTATGGACTGGTATTTTGACCAGAAGTGACAGTTTATTGTTAATATAATGATAGATTTGTCAGCCTACAGATCCTCTCCACCAGGTTGGGAGCTGTGAGAATGTGTACTAAATGGTGCCAAGAAGGAAAAGTATTTGAAGGGCGGGTGTTATGTAAAGGTGGCGGGATCATCACATTGTATTTAGATGTCATTATTAGAGTTGGGTGGTCTGTGAGGTTGGTGTGCAATAAAGCTGTCGTTAGGCTTTGTGTCATAGGCAGCCTAAATGTGAGCCTGCTAACATGCTTACTATGTCAAGCTGCTTCACTTAAAAGGGCTTCAAGATTATAAAAAACCTGCAACCAAGAGAAAACAAGCATTCAGCTGTTTGGACTCTCATTCATGACGGCACCCATTCACTGTACAGGATCCACTGGTAAGCAATTGATGCAATGCTACATTTCTTCAAATCTGTTCACATGAAGAAACAAACTCATCTACATCTCGAATCACCTGAGGGTGAGTAAAATTTCAGAAAATGTTCATTTTTGGGTGAACTATTCTTTTGATGCAATATATTGCAACTACAAGAGAACAGTAAAAAAAAAAGGGTGACCAAAAAAATCCATTTGTGAGTTTTTATTTCTTTATTAATTCTGTAAATGTATCTTCAGCTGGTGTACAGGGTTGAATATTTCTATATATTTATATAGACATTTAAAATCTTGTCTGATTCAAAGACCTATAGTAGCAATAAAAATAAATACATAAAATGAAAGAAACTTTAAAGAAGCACAGTGCTTCTATATTCCCACAGGCACCCCCTTGAAGTCTTGTTTGCTAAGATGCTATAAGTACATCCATGACATTAAAGTACTCCCAAGTTCCCAAATAGCAGATCATAAATTCCCATTTGCAAGTGCAAAGCATTCTAATTAAATATAATTATATATACGTATTAAAAGATGTATTAAAAACATCTTTTCTGTGCAAGTGTGCATTTTGCATTCCTTTTTCATAAGTAATATGTTATTGCGTTTATATTGATTTCAAATCATTCGGTAGTAAATAGGAGTAAATATATTCTGTCATTTTGTAACAGTTCACATTTTTGCAAGAGGTTGGTTTAAACCATTGCTTAGACATCAAACAATTGCATGGTTAATTTGACCTATCTTTGCTGCCATACTGGAATGGACCCCAAATACTTTTTACGCAGCCACTTTGATCTGTGCGTTTCAACTTTTGTTCAGGGAGGGACTCGAGGGAGGACCCATCTCATGCCAGCAGAGTGGCTGCATTTATTTTGTCCTAGAAATTCAACCTTAAGTGCTGGAAATCTCAAACCACAGAAATGAGAATACCTGAAACTTTAAAAAATAATAATAAACTTGAGAAAAAAACACAAGCACATGAAGGATATGAATAAAGAGCTTGTTGAATTTTATATCCAAGCTCAATAAAAATCTTTTAATAATCCCATCTGTAAAACTGATGATTAAAAAACAATAATATAATATAAAATAATAAATTTTAATGGAAGACATGCATTTATTGTTTATGTCTTTATTATTATTGTGCATCCTTATATTAAATGATTTAATGAACAACATTAAAAATGTTCAAAGTGATGCATTAAAATGTAGATTTAGTCTTATTCATGTGACTTGAATGTGGTGCACAAATAACCACAGACAATGCATATTTAAATAACAATGCTATGGTACAACATAAAATGCTACATTAAATGGCCTGTATTTGGTATTATGCTCTTAGGTTATCAGAATCTGAATTTTATTCCCATACATATGAGATGCTTGATTTGAGGTTTTTAAGATTATTTTGTGTCATCCTTTAAATTCACTGGATAATTTCAGGTTGAAGTTTGTGTTTTATACAGTATAGTGTCAGTAGAGATGCCAGCCAGTGCTGCGGTGATCACTGTTTGCATAATATAATATAATGAAGAGAGGTGCATACAACTACAGCTCTACAACTGGACTGGCTGTTGTTTCTAAAAACCTCCGGAAGATAGATACGAGTGCTTGAATTGCTGGAAAAGATTAACCTAAGTGCAGCAGATCCAGATAATCCACATTATATTTAGTTTGTGCATGTATGTGTGTGTGTGTGCATGAAGTCAGCTCTGTTCTGTTGTGGGAGAGTGAACAGTCTGATCACAGTGCTCAGTGGCTACGTGTCTTCATCAAGCTTAAGAGAGGCAAAGAATGTGTCTTGAGTGTTCACACCTTTTTGTCAAGCATGTGTGGAGTGCCTAAAAATGATTACACATCTAATCATATCAGTGAAAATGTTTGGCATCAAAAATGAGAACCAATACAGATTGTGTTTTTTCCCCCTAAAAACAATATATAGTGCACACCATGAGTATTTGCATCATCTGTATAAAAAACAAACAAACATACTGTTAACAAATGTTGTCTGTTATGCTGAAAAGATGAGAAAAAAATCTAACCTTTCAGTAAAGTTAAAATATTATTATTATTAGTAATAGTAGTAGTAGTAGTAAATATTTTGCCAATATGTTTAGCAAATTTAGCAAACCTAGCAATCTAATTGCCATTAATTCTCATTTATATATATATATATATATAATACTTAGGACCATGTGATATTTCAGTTTTTCATTTTTAATAAATCTGCAAAAATGTCAACAATTCTGTGTTTTTCTGTCAATATGGGGTGCTGTGTGTACATTAATGAGGAAAAAAATTAACTTAAATGATTTTAGTGCAATATTGCAATATAACAAAGAGTGAAAAATGTAAGGGGGTCTGAATACTTTCCGTACCCACTGTATATATATATATATATATATATATTTGTATAAAAATGATCTAGAACGCTTATGAGTTATATAAGGCAAAAGATAAGGCAAACACATCAAAATATTAGCCTTATTTAGCATGGGGAGCAAAAACAAAAACTTAAAAGATTTTTAGAGGTGACACAAAGGTAATATGTGGGCCGCTAGAAACATGACAAATGGATGCACTTGGTCACTAATTCAGATTCCACTGCAAATCTGTAGAGTAAAGTCTAAAGTATACTTCAGTTGTCTATGTGTGTACAGTATGCTTGTACTATGCTTATGACAATATTTATGCATAAAAGTATACTTTTGGATTAAGTTACAAATGGATATGGAATATAAGGGATTTAATATTGTGTAAGAGTATAGAAAGGTCTAAGGATGCTGAGGAAGACTCTCAAAACTGGATATACTGGCCTCAGAAAAGAGAAAACTGAATAGAAATCACTGGAAGGGCGATAACTGCAGGGATGGCAATAATTGTGACATGTCTAGGAAAAAACGATGTTGATTTTTGGGCTCCCAAAGTTAGTGAGTTTAATGCCATTCAATCTAAATATATATAACTGATTTCATTCTCCTCTAATGTCTTTGTGACAAGTGTAACAAGTAGGCCTGTTTTTAGTAATGGGAAGTTATCAATAAAACATCTGGTAACACTTTACAACAAGGTCCTATTAGTTAACGTTAATAACACATTAACTAACGCTGAATAATTTGTTACAGTATTATTCATCTTTAATAACATTAATAAAAATCCTGTTCATTGTTCATGTGAACTCAAATCTGTTAAATATATTATGAAAAGATACAACTTTGATTTTTAATAAAGTATTAGTGAATTGAAATGAACATAGATTAATAAATGCTTTATAAGTAGTTTTCATTGTTAGTTCATGTTAACTAATATAGTAAACTATTATTAACAAATAGAACATTATTGTAAAGTGTTCTAAAAAATCTTTGCAATGTACCTTATTAGGTTTTTATTAATTAATAATGAATATGCTAAATTATTACCTACAAAACAAACCACATTTTTAATTGTGAATAATAATTTTAATCTATTGACAGCTTTTATCTAAATTTTTACGACTAATTTTACTTCAATGAAAGGTTAGACTTTTTAACTATCATTTATAACAAGACAAATAAAAATTATTGCTTTTTTGGTTCTAAGGATTCAAAAGAAAGTCTTCCCACTATAGTGGTTATTTGGAATAAAGCAAATGCTGAAGGTGGATAATGCAAATGTTAATATAACGCTTATAAGCTCCTCTGTGCATATTGAGTTATTAAGAGGAAGCTCAGGGTTCGTATACACAAGAGGTATGCAATGTATATAGAACAAAAACAAAAATCTTGCTGCAGCGCTGCAAACGTGTACATATAGAGCCCCACAGTGATTTTAAAATATGTCCAAAGTACTGTATCCCACTGAAAACATTTCAACTGCACAAATTGTAACCCTTGAGCCTAGTATATCTCAGGCAACACAGGACTTCAAAGCTCATTTGCTACACAATTATACCTTTACAATACACAAGACACATACTATTGGACTGAACAAGAATTCAGGAGCAAGTATTGAGACAGCAGCATAATCATCGCATAGGTTGTTGTCTTTTTTTTTTGGGGCTGTGGAAAAGAACACACGCACACGGAGAGTACATTCACATCATATTTGAGTGCATATTATGTATAATACCAGTACAAGAGGGTCAAACTCCTCCTGGTGGGAAACCTTTTCGGTAATAGTGTGTTCTGGACTCGCTTGGAAGACTAAATTTCAGGAAACTCTTGCTGGATTTTACTAAAACTAACTTTCGTGTCCCATGTGCCCCTATACCACGATGTTAAGCGTATGCATCCAGTTGGCCAAAGTCCTTCCTCCCACCATTTTACAGCCTTTGCGGTACGACAGTATATTCTCACCTCATAATTGCTTGCAGTCTGTGCTGTATGTAAAGGCAGGCCATGCGACAGCACTTTCACATGCTGATATTGAGATTACAGGAAGCACTTCTCAAATGCTTGCTTTTTTTCATTGTTTGGTTTCATTTGATAAGAAATCATGCCTCTAGCTGCTAGTGTTTGTTTTGCTTGTTACAAAAAGTCCGAAAATCTCTTTTCGTAAGTTTATATCCATTGCCTATCGCCCGTGCTCTAGTTCAGTTTTCTTCTTTATTTGACGCCCATCATGTGTCAGTGAAGGATGGTTTGGGTGTAGGTGTCAAGTCCTAGGTTGGAAAAATAGAAAGGAAGGTTACAATGAATCTGCGATCTTACAAGAATAATGACATTCAGACCAAAATAGCAGCTTGACGTGGTCTATGTTTTGCAGCATGGTAGCTGGTCCAAGGTGATTTACCAGGTCAAAACCAGATCTACTATAGCTGGTAGTTCAACCAGAGAGTTGCCATAAATGACCTTCCAATTTAAACTGTACCTTCATATAAGAAAAAATACAGCATGCTTTTATACAGGTCTGAATGACACCAAATACCAGTAAACAAAACTTGAATAAAATGTGTACAGGATCTTTGAAAATCTACAATGGGATAAAATATCTCAGCAGAACATCAAAATTATTCTTTAGAAATTTAGGAAAAATGTGTGCTTTCAGTACTCTTATTCTTCTTTATTGGTATCAATGGTTCCATGAACATCCACGGCACCTTTGCAGGTTCTTAGTAGAAAAAGGCTCTTTAGATGATTAAAATATTCTTCACTAAGAAAGAAACTAGTTCTTTTAACAAGGTTCTTTGAGGAACCAGAAATTCTTTAATGGCATTGCTGTGAAAACCCATTTTGGAACACTTATTTTCAAGAATGTAGCAAGACATTATTTCTAAACCAATTTAATGTTCATAAACATTGCACAACATCCAACAAGAATCCAAATTTCTGTAATTTCAATTCTAGTATGATTCATAGAGGATTCTTATTAGATCCCATTAGGATTCCAAATTATGAGAGGACGGGAATAGGATCCTGTATACATTTTTTTATAGTTTTTTTTTTTTTTACCATAGGTAAAATACATAATCAAGAGTTATTCTGTAGCTAAAAGAGAGGGAGGGTTGACAAATGCTAACTGGACACTTTCATATATTAGTTGGAAATGGATAAGATGTCAGAGGAGTTTAGGAGTTAATGCAGTGAGGTGATACGTGTGTTTTTAATAAAGTACAACACTCAATAGCATAACTGAGGGCACACATTATACAAAATTAGTAGATGCAACTCTATGTTTGAATAGTTAACTTTTATTTGAAAATCCAGCTTTTACTACAGCTTTGCTCAATCAGCTGATTTATAGGCCCCCATTGCTTTCATTGTCCAATAAATATCAGAGACATTGTTCCATTCAAACGCACTCACTAGCTGTAAATAAACAAGTTATCAGTATGTTTCTGGAACAGCACTTCTTATATTTTTTAGAACTTATTATATATTTACAAAGTTGGATCTGATGGCTTCAATACTGCTGGATTATTAAATACTATGTTTTAGTTTTCTATATTTTGATTCATCTTATACGACATCTAAATTCAAACAACCTTAAACTAAAATACCTGGTTCATTCTCAGGAACAGTGCATTATGTTTTCATGACTTACTATTGATATTATTAACAAGAGAGGATGTAGTCAAATAATTTATTAAAATTGTTTAAAATATTAATTTATATCAGCACATTAGTCAATTTATTAGTCAAATTCATCAAACCTTGCAATCTACCAAAATTCTTCAATTCTTCATTTAGCAAAATTATAATATTTTATATAAATAATTATAATAATGGATACTAAAAGAATTTATATAGTTGTCTAAAGTATATCTGTTTAGAAGTTTATGGATTCCCGATTTTTAACTAATGTACTACCATTTTTTTTTAAAATTCAGCAAGTATGTATTAATTTGATCAAGAGTGACATTTATAATTTTGCAAAATAATTATTTTCAAATAACTGCTGTAAAAAAATGTATCATAGCTTCCACAAAAAATATGAAGCTGAACAACTGTTTTCAACATTGATATTAATCAGAAATGTTTCTTGAGCAGCAAATCAGCATAACATTAGAATGATTTCTTAAGCATCATGTGACACTGAAGACTGGAGTAATGATGCTGAAAAGTCAGCTTTAACATTACAGGAATAAATTACATTTTAAAATATTCAAATAGAAAAAAAAAATTACATTTAATATTTTACATTTCACAAGATCACTGTTTTAGTATGTGTTTATCAATCAAATGCAGCCTTGGTGAGCTTAAGAGGCTTTCAAAAACATAAAAAATCTTAAAACCCACAAACATTTGAACAGTAATGTAATACTTTAGGTACTTTCGACTTAGTAATGATAAATAACTGTTGGTACTTAGGAAGGCTCAAACTGCATATTTAGGAAAAAGGGTAATAGTTAAAGAATCTTACACTGAGAAACCCATATTTGTTGACCACTAATGGTGTCTATAGTATACTTAAGGCCTGAGCTGGAAAAATATGATTTCTTGAAATTTGACTGAATCCCATTGGTTAGCAGGATTACATTAGCACAAAGTGCAGCAATGTCCTGTACCTGCAGGGAGGAGTGAGTCAGACTCACTGCTTTACTCTCCGCAGACTCACACATTTGACTATTTGAGCACCTCCCCACTTCACATCCACAACATCCGGCTATGACGGAGAGCAGGTGGGGCGGGAGAGGAGAGGAGCAGCGGAGAGCAGCATCCATGGGAGGACAGAGAAATGAAGGGACGGGAGTGTGAATGAATAGAAACAAGGAGTAACGGAACAGATGGAGAGGGCAAAGTGAAACAATTAGGTGATGTGTTAATGGAAAAGAGATCAGGTTCAATAAGCAGAACGTGCAAATAACACACAAAACAAGAAGATAGCATGGAGAAGATAACGAAAGAGAGGCATGGTCCAGGGGAAAATATATAGGAGAGGATAAAGAGAACAAGAGAGAGAGAGAAAAGCAAATAGCATCAGAAAAGGCCAACACAGAAGGACGGGCACAGTCTGGGCAAAGAGATGTTTAATTCAAGTCGAGCGTTTACAAGGAAACTTGTCATCAACCATAGAGAAATGAATGATAATGAACATCAAATTAAGTTATCAATGAGGGTTAACTGGGACGCCCATAAAGAGGAATCACATATGAACCAACCTGGTGATGTAATTTCCTCTACAAGATCTACAAGACACAAGATATACAGTGCATAGTGCTTACTACACTGTAAAAAGTGGTAACCTGCAATAATTACCTTGCTTTAAAATAGTTTTGCTGGTATAAATGTACATACGTTGCTTTAGTGATGTTACAGAATATATCTGACTTGAATAAAACTGGTTATTTTAGATGTTACCATATTTAGGTTACCATTTTTTCAGTGTATTTTAAAAATAGCATGTGAAACAATATGTAGTATGCTTTAAACAGTAGTATGCAACATAGGTAAAATTAATTTGAATAAATTAATTCTGCAAATGTCTCATCATTTGTCAGATTAAATAACGAGTAAAGAAAAAGATGTTAAATATGGGTTGATGGTTTTGGAAATGGATACTTCTGTATACTGCAAAATTGGGCAGATGTAATAGGTCAGTATTCCATGCACATAGATGTTTGCATAATGTGCACAGTACTGCAGAAATAGTAGTAGGAGTAGAGTAGCATGGTAGAATATTATATTTAGTCCAATTAAATTATACCGCATTAGGTCTCCGAAATGCAACGTTCAGTGTTATTTTTTCTCCAAATAACACTGAGCATCATTAATCCTGGTTCTGACTGATTCCTCTTTTTGGAATGGAAAGAAATTCAGGAAATGAAAAAAGTGCCCAAAAGAAAGAATAATGATGCATTGGGGTGAAGTTAAGCACTATAATCCAATGATATGATTACCAGTTCTTCATAACCAATTCATATCTGACCGGAGTGACCTAAAATGAAACTAAGCCATCACTTTTAAAAAATGTTTTTTAATAATATAAAGGACAATTATAATAAAGTCTAAAAATTCTAATATTAAGGACAATTTTAATAAAGTTTCTAAAGTTTAAACGAAAGTGTATCAACTGTATACAGGCTTACTAGCTTCTCACATCTTCCAGAGCATATTTTGTCCTCCCAACACTTTCAGGACCTTGGAACATGCTATTTTTTTCCATTCAAATGTCCTTTTCCTCAATAAGCTGAAGAACTCTTGTTGCATTTCTTAAAGGTGAAGTGTTTAGTTTCCTTTAAAGGATTCATGGTGTATTCTTGCAGATACATTATATTCAGGCTGCATTTATAGGCTGCATCTTCAATGCCAAAAAAACAATGCCAAAAAAACAAAACAAAACAAAAAACAAACAAGAAAAGAAAGACACAACTTTGGTGTTTCCTGGTTTAAGCCTTCAAGCATCTAGCAGTTTGCTTATTCTCCTTCAAACCACACTCTGTCAGCCCAGCGAACTCAAAAGCCCACCTTGCTGTCACGGCCCAGGACGGCATAGCTCATGAACTGTTCTCCATCAGCGTCTGCCTCATTGATATCCTTCGGCAGCCCTTCTATGATGAGCTCCTGACCCCCTTCCTCCCCTTTTCCTCTCCGGACCACCTTCCTCACAATCTACATCACGGATGGGTGAGATCATTGAGAATCGGCGGATGAGCAGAAGGTGCATGAAAAGGAACGAAGGAGAGGAAATGAAGAGATGGGAAACAGTGTAAGAAACATGCAAAAGTAATGTCTTAGGATGTTTGACAGAAAGGAAACGTGTACTTTAAAGTTGCACTAAATGTAAAATTGTGCAAACCATCTATTTTAATTCCGGATATGCTGAAGGTCTCAAGAGCATCTCAACATAACAGTGAACTTCTTTGTCAATTATCATTAAATTACTCTTAAATTTTTACGTCATGTTGACTTTACGAACTGTTTCAAAATTTATTGAGCTGCCTTGCTGTCTACTATCTTCGTAGACACTGTCCTAACCCCATATGTGACATTTAGATTGCTTTACATAGACAGCATCTTTTTCACTCAATATATATATATATATATATATATATATATATATACAAACCCGATTCCAAAAAAGTTGGGACACTGTACAAATTGTGAATAAAAACAGAATGCAATGATGTGGAAGTTTCAAATTTCAATATTTTATTCAGAATACAACATAGATGACATCAAATGTTTAAACTGAGAAAATGTATAA